CACACTTTATCAGATTTGAGTTGAGAAAGGGGCCAGTGGGCTGGCTCAAATGGCCAATCCTCCACCTCCAAGCGCAAGCATCCCATATGGGCACCAGTTCATGCCCCAGCTGCTCTGCTTCCCATCCAGCACTCTGCCTATGGCCTGAGAAAACAGTGGAGTATGGTCCAAAGCCTTGGGACCCTGTATCTACATGGCAGACCCAGTAGAAGCTCTTGGCTCTTCATTTCAGATCAGCTCAGTTCTCACCACTGCGGTCACTGAGGGATGATGGAAGATGGAAGGTCTGTCCCTCCTCCTCTCTGTAAATCCACTTTTCCAAGAAACATAAATCTTAAAAAAAAAAAGGTCAAGAAAACTGGATACTTCATTTGATTTGTTCAAGCTCATTTCCTTTGCCTCAGTAAATGTAGTTAGTAAAATTCAAAGTTCCCATCTTTGACTCTATAAATGCATGTGTATATGCATTCATGCATGTATATATATACACGTATGTTTCATATATATTACATATATGTGTATATGTCTCCCCTTTTTGTTCTTAAAAAATTCCAATAAAATCATGAGTCCTAACAATTTTTTTAAAGATTTATTTTTATTATTTTTTTATTGGAAAGGCAGATATACAGAGGAGAGACAGAGAGGAAGATCTTCTGTCCAATGATTCACTCCCCAAGTGAGCGCAACGGCCGATGCTATGCCGATCGGAAGCCAGGAGCCTCTTTCGGGTCTCCCACGCAGGTACAGGGTCCCAAAGCTTTGGGCCGTCCTCAACTGCTTTCCTGGGCCACAGGCAGGGAGCTGGAAGGGAAGCGGGGCTGCCGGGATAGAACTGGCGCCCATATGGGATCCTGGGCGTTCAAGGTGAGGACTTTAACCACTTGCGCAACCGTGCTGGGCCTGAGTCCTAACAATTTTTTAAAGAGATACTTCATTGATAGTTTCTTTTTACATTAAAAAAAAGATTTATTTATTTTTATTGCAAGTCAAATATACAGAGAGTAAGATCTTCCATCTGATGATTTACTCTGCAAGTGACCGCAATAGTAGAGCTGAGCCAATCCGAATCCAGGAGCTGCCTCCAGGTCTCCCATGCGGGTGCAGGGTCCCAAGGCTTTGGGTCATCCTCCACTGCTTTCCCAGGCCACAAGCAGGGAGCTTGATGGGAAGCGGGGATGCAGGGATTAGAACTGGCATCCATATGGGATTCTTGGTGCATTCAAGATGAGGACTTTAGCCACTAGGCCATCACGCTGGGCCTTATTTATTTATTTTTTTTTACATTTGAAAAAAAAAGATTTTATCTATCTATCTATCTATCTATCTAAAAGGTAGAATTACAGAGGGAGAAGAAAAGGAGAGGAAGAAGACAGAGGGACACAGGGAGAGACCGTATCTCCCATCCTCTGATTTATTCCCCAAATGGCCCCAAAGGTGAGGGCCAAGCCAGACTGAAGCCATGAGCGGAGGAGCTTCATTTGGAATTCCCACAGGGGTAGTAGGGGCCTAAACACTTGGGCCATCTGCTGCTGCTTTCCAGACTATGAGCCGGAAACTGGATCAGAAACAGAGCACCTGGGACAGGAACTGGCATCATATGGAGACACTGTTGTCACAAGCAGTAGCTTAACTTGCAACATCACAGCACTGGCTCCAAGAAACTTGAAATTTTGTCCAAGAACATGATAAATAGCACAACCAGGTCCTAATGTAAGTAGTCTGCAGTCAAAGCCTCCTCTAACCACTAAACCATAATGTTTGACTTCATAAGGCTCATTTCAAGACAGAATGGGACACTAGTTTACAGAACATCTACAAATGACAACAGGGCTAGAAAATCCCAACGTCCTCTTCTAGTGAGTCACAGAAACGAGAGGTAAGTTCTCACGTTCTCCCTTTTCGGGCCTTAGCTACGTTTGCACTATGAGACTTCCTTGGCTTCCAGACACTCCGTTGTGCAGCCTCAGGTCAAGAACTAAGACCTAATTCTCCACAGGCACGAGACCATCAGGCCAGTCAGCAACAACCAAATTTATAGCTAATAAAACCAGTTAATTGCACAGCATGAGGCAACCTCTCTTTATGCAAAAATTACATGGTTACAGGGTTTAGAACAACTCTTACAATCTGATTAGCTAAGTGCTTTATAATATTACTCCACAGTGCAATGGAGTTTGATTATTTACATCCCATAACAGAAATGTTTGAGACATTTATTATGGAAATCTACAAGATCATTTAGAAGAGTTTAGGCAAATTTAATTTTGAAATAGTCTGGAAAGTCCTTGGAAATCATTTACACTTCAATTAGTCAGCATCTTGAATACCTGGATTCTTCAGCTAAATTAATAACAATTCTACCATTTTTGTTCTGTCGGTATGTTCAGACACGTGCACAACATATTCACACCATCTGTGAGACTTGGTCACTGAGGGCAAAAAACAAAAAACCAAACCCTAACACACACAATCAGAGTAAGGAAAATCTGGAATCAGAAACTTAAGAGTGGAAGAGATTTAAAGTCTTCTGGTTTTTTCCTTCCTAGTCCCCAACTACAACGACCATGCTCTGCATTCTCCAAGGCTGCTCTCTGGCCTTAATTTCCTGTCCTTACACCCATCAAACCAGCTCTTCAGTTCAACAGATAAATTAATGCCTCTAGTCTCCCAATTCTTCTCAGTTTTCCTTGGGTAATAAACTAGATTCTGTCGAGAGGATACAGACATCCGGTCTTGCTCTCTCTTTTTGATATCCAGTCCAAAATGTCTCTAAACCCAAAGCCTGCATGAAAACACCAATGTAACGTCTTCATAATCCTATAGTTTCACCAACCTTTGCTCTTGCTTGCATCCTTGACATTGCTTCATGGTCATAACTTAACCCTGGGGTTCCAAGCACTCCAGGCAGCAGGAAGAAGGAAAGTGCTAAAGGGTATAAGGGCAGCCTCCTTAAAAAGCTTTGTAGAAAGCTGACCCAATTCTGCAAATCTCACATTCTTACATCTCTCACATTCAAGCCCTACATTCAGTGCAGTTCTAACCTGGGTACAGTGGCACATCTGATACAACAGGGTTTGTGCTGAAGACCAGGAGAGTATTTATCGCATTAACAGTTAATAGTTCATGCCACATCTACCAAAGTATCCATGATCAAGATTCTGCTTTTCACATAAGAATTTTTTGGGTATTCTACAGAGGGATCCTCATAAAGTTTGTTGGAAAATGCATATGATAGAAGATCTATGTATGGATCTCAAAACTTTTGCAACAAAATATACTAATCTTTTAAGTCTATTTTCTATGAACTTTAACAAGTTCTCTCATATGACATTCTATGCTCTTAAATATTCCCAAAATATTCTTTCAAAACCATAAATCCATAGTCTCTAAGTATGAAAAGAAAATAATAATTACCCATTTCTCTGGTCTTCAGTACTTCTAGACTAACTGTTATAGCTTACCTGAGAGTTAAGTCAGTGTATTTATGATGTGCAGATAAGTGAAAGCTACGAGTTATTAAAAGTAATTCTGAGTCTCTCTAGTTAGCTCTCTCATTCTCTATTCAACACACACCCAACAAATATTTACTGAGTATCTACTACATGCCAGCATCCACGCTATGATGCTAAGGATAATGATGAACAAGTTAGCCAAACCCCTGCCCACCTGAGGGCTCAGAACACAGTGGGAGAAGATGGCCAACGACGATGTAAAAAAATAAGACAATTTTCACAAGGCAGATGTGCAATGAACTTGATTCTTCTGGTGTCCTTTAGACACTTGCCCTTTTTTCATTTTTCATTCTCAGGTTGCTGCCATACTCTCACATTGCAAAACAAGTGTAGTTTCCATCAGCTCTCCCATCTCCATTGACCACTATATATATATATATATTTTTTTTCTTTTTCTTGAGAAAAGAGTACCCTTCCTTCACTTTGACACCTTTTTGTCACAGGTCCTCCTACAACCTTTTTCCTCAGGACAACTCGCTCCATCATCATCATTTCCATATTATTTTATCTCTTTTCTAGTTATATCTTCTAACCCCAAGACAATGCTTGAATTTCATCTCTTTAAAAATAGGTAACTTTTTTGCACTGTCATATTCTTCCTGAACTATTTTCTGATCATTAAACCTTTCTGAATACTTTGTTCTATTTACTTAATTTGTATTTGCTTCTTAATCTCATTGTATTTGGCTGGATTTTTATTGTGTTGCTAAAGCTTCCCTAAGTAACTAACTCATAACTTATCAAATGTCCTACACAGATTATACTTTGAGTTTAAAAACTAAATATGGTCCTGGTGCAATGGCCTAGCAGCTAAAGTCCTTGCCTTGAACATGCCGGGATCCCATATGGGTGCCAGTTCTAATCCTGGCAGCTCCATTTCCCATCCAGCTTCCTGCTTGTGGCCTGGGAAAGCCATCAAAGACAGCCGAATGCCTTGGGATCCTGCACCCATGTGGGAGACCTGAAAGAACTTCCTGGCTCCTGGCTTCGGATCAGCACAGCACCGGCTGTTGCAGCCACGTGGGGAGTGAATTATCAGACAGAAGACCTTCCTCTGTCTCTCTTCCTCTCTGTGTATCTAACTTTGTAATAAAAAAAAAACAAATCTTAAAAAAATTAACCATGCCTCTCTTTAATTTTCTGATATTGTTCCTTGGCATCTGTACTCTTTCATATCTCAATATGTACAAAAATAAGGACGAAACGATGCTGTAAGTCCTGTCAGGAGAAATAAACTCCCACCACGAAGGGCTTACAAGGACAAAACAAATGTACTTAATGATAATGTGGCCATGACCACCGTGAGGACAGTCAAGCACTGTCGAAGAGCCATGTGGAGGATGATGGAAAGCAGCCACTGGACCATAAATAACAGATTCAATTTCAATTAATAGTTGGGAGGTGGGGGAGAGCAGCATTCCTATCAGAGGCACTAGCTGAAGTAATGGGGAAGAGGCAGCATGGAGCAGGATGTTTGAGTAATACACAAAGGACATATCAGAGATTGGAGATGCTAATGGGTCATCCTTGCACAGGGGCCATACTAATCTTCTCTGTATCGTTCCAATTTTGGTATATGTGCTGCCGAAGCGAGCACAGAGATGCTAATGGAACTGCTAACACACACGACTAACAGATGCCAGTCTGATTTTTACGTCAAATGTCAGTGGTAGCCACACCAAAAAAGTCAAAATATATGTTAAGGTTTGAAAGAGATCTAAGATCAGCACAGCTTCTAGAGGTAAAGGAATTATTACTGCACCATCAGTTGGAACTAAAAGTTTACCTACTCCAGTTGTCCCTAAAATAACATAATATCCTTAATAACATTTTTACTAAAATTATCAGAGACAGCATGCATACACGTATACACACACAAGTGTGTGTGTGTGTGTGTGTGTGTGAGAGAGAGAGAGAAACAGACAGAAAGTACTCTCATCCACAGTTCACTCTGAACACCCACACAGCCAGGATTTAGCTGAGGCAGAGTCTGTGAATCTATAACTCAAGCCACTTTTCCCACACAGGTGGCAGAGATCCCAACACTTCAACCATCAGTCAACTGCCTCCCAGGGCCTGCATCAGTGAGAAGCTCGAATCAACAGCCAGGGCTCTGACTAGGACTCAGGCACTCCAATGGAACTGAGGGAGCCTTGGCATCTTAACTGCTAGGCCAAACACAGTTCACCTCCCATCCCAACATCTTGAATCATATTCTAAGAAATAGGTATTTCCCTTTGACTAAACTCTCCCAGGGGCAGGCTAACACTGGGGAAAGAGTTGAGTTATTGCTGAGAATTTGGAAAATACTTATTAAAATAGGAGAGAGCAGAGAGATAACGAGTCTCCAAGACCAGGAGGATGGGGAGTTAAGTGGACCAGTAATACCAACACAAATCATGAAAGTGTATGTACATGTGCAAGCATAGATGTCTGTTCAAGAACAGTCAGGGATTGTTGATCATGAAGACAGGAAAAAGAAACAGGAAGTACCAGTAGGGTAGGAGGAACATGAAAGGCACAGGAACTTCCCCAGTATGTGGGTGCTCCTCTCCTGTGGCAAGGTAGGTTAATCAGATCACCGGCAGGACGCAGCATCACAAAGCATCAAACTCCATTACTGACTCCTCTTGCCTTAAAATCTGTGTTCACAAAGCAGTATGTTGATTGATTTATTTCTCATATAATTGATCTTAAAAATCAGTAATATGGCTTTATTTCTTTAGTCAGTCAAATATGTTACATGGTTCCATATCCTTGAGTCCACTCAAGCATGAACCCAAAAAGCAGAAGGAATCCCACTAGGGAACTACCAGGACAGCTGCTAATACCCTTGGGACTTCCCCATGTCCTATGGCAAGAAATTGGTTTCTAGAGAGTCTATTCCATTGTGTGGAATTATCAGACTTGACCTACGTAACTTTGCTCATCAAGCACGGCTTCACTATGCCACATCCATTTTAGCCCAGATTCTTGTTGCTTCATTCCAAAACACCACCACTGCACCCCGAATTCTGATTTTTCCTCATTCCTTAAAGTTTCAGCTTGGTGCCCTTGACTTGATCACAACTCTACTTACTATCTTATTGCCTCTGACCAAGAAGAAAGAGTTCCTTTAATAAATGGCAGTTAATGATACTGCAAGTGGACACATTCTTCTATGCCTACTGACTGAAACAGTGTCTGTGTAATGAACACTACTTATTTTGTCCAGGAATGCTTAGATTCCTGGTGAGATCCGACATAAGCCTCAGTCAGAGAGCTCTCCATGTGGCTCTCTTCCCATAAAACAGACTGTAGTCATCACTGAAGTCCCTGAGAAAATGTTAATACTGTTTATTGACTGTACATAACTCTCAAGACTCAGGGAATGTTTGGCATGTAAACAAATATAATCCTGATGTTCACCGATATAACACACACCAATCTGCAACCCAACGTTCTGATAGCCAAAGACATCTAACAAAAATTGTAGGTCATTGTTTAATTGATTTTGAGGTGTAACAGTCCAAAATTGAGCCCAAGGATAAAGAAAAAAGTGAATGAGAATATCAACACATTTTCTAGGAGAGAGAAGATTATAAAGCATGAGATTATGGACTCCGTTAAGAGTCTTCAGAAAGATACATAACATTCTGATACCTGTGAACTAGATCACAAATTTTTATAACTTAATTCTTTTGCAATTGATAAATAGAATAACTACTGACTCAGAAGTAGCACACTCATGCATTACACTTGCTATGTATCAACAGTGTCTCATCATTTTACATAGTTTAATTCATGAGGTAAGTACTATCATTATCCTGGTTTATCTCTGTGAAACTAAGGAACAGAAAAGTTAAGCCATTGGCCCACAGTCAGGCAGCTGAGAAACAGGGCAGCCAAGATTCAAATTAGGCAATCAGTCAGCAAAGCCTAGGAATTCAATCACAACATACAAATATCAATTCTCCAAATCATACATATGCACATGCCCCCACATTTCTTCGTATTATGAATAAACAAACTCACCTGCGACTGTGCTTATGACTACGCCCTGATACACAGTGAATGCACAAGCACGCTAACTGGATCTGAGCATGGAAAGAACTCCAGAATCAGCCACCAGAGACCTAAATTCTAGTCTAAGTCCAGGCTCTTGATGCAATGTAATTTGGGGCTTCATATTATATACTGATAAAACATCAAACTGTGCAGGCAAAAAGAACAACCTAAATAATCTAAAATCTCTATAAATAGCATTGTGACTGCATCTGATCTAGTTGGTAGGGAAGGGCCCGGGAAGTTCCCAGTGAATCTAGGCATACAGCCAGGATTTAGATTAAGTGGCTGAGACAGTGGTTCTCCCACTCAAACCAACCACAGCCTTGGGCCCAGCTCAATGACTCAGTGGCTAACTCCTTGCCTTACATGCACAGGGATCCCATATGGACATGTTTGTATACTGGCAGCCTTGCTTCCTGTCCAGCTATTTGCTTGTGCCCTGGGAAAGCAGTAGAAGATGGCCCAAAGCCTTGGGATCCTGTACCCATGTAGGAGACTAGAAGCTCTTGGATCCTGGCTTTGGATTGGCTCAGTTCTGGCCATTGTGGCCACTCGGGGAGTGAAGCAGCAGATGGAAGATTATTCTCTATGTATCTCTGTCACTATGTAAATATACCACTCCAAAATCAATCAATCAATCAATCTTAAAAAACAAAAAAACAAAAAAAATCACTTTGCTGCTCTGTAGAAAATCTTGCTTCCATTTCAGGATGTACAAGCTGGCCTACTTAAGTCTCTTGACTTCACTAAATTTGATCTTCATTGGTACAATAAGAAGCCTAAAGCAGATTACAATAGCTGTAAGGACCAAACACATTTGAGTCTGATTCAAGAAATGTTAGTGACTAGAAAATGTACCTGGACTGAGCAGAAAAAAAACTTAAGAAAAAAAGATATACAGCAGTGAATTCAGACACAATATATCACCAGCCACAACTATAAAATGGTCATCAATGATTCACAGTCTGTATGGGAAGCTAAATGTGGCCACACGACGCATTAACTGGCTAATAAGAGGTGAGAAGTGATGGGGTTGGTGTTTGTGGTACAGCACATTAAGTCACCGCTTGTACCATCCTTTATCGGAGTGATGGTTTGAGTCCTGGCTGCTCCACTTCCAACTCCCTGTGAATGTACACTGGAGGGCAGCGGAAAACAGCTCAAGTGCTTGGGCTCTTGCCATACACCTGGGAGATCCTGATGGAGTTTTAGGTTACCGGCTTCTGTCTGGACCAGCCCTGGCCAATGCAGCCATGTGGGGAATGAACCAGAAGATGGAAGACCTCTATCTCTCCCTCAACCCGAGTAACTCTGACTTGTATGTGTGTGTGTGTGTGTGGGGGGGTGTATATAATTTTTTTTTAATCTTTCTTGATGGTCGCAATAGCTGCATCATGGCTAGGCTGAAGCCAGGATCCAGAAGCTGCCTCCAGATCTCTCACATGGATAACTGTGCCCCAAACATTGGGGCCATCTTCTGCAGATTTTCCTAGTTGGGACATGAACTGGCATCCGTGTGGAATGCCAATGTCACAGGCATTGGCTTTACCTGCTATACCGCAACACTGCCCCATAAACACATCATTTTTACTGTTTTTAATTTTTAAAAGATTTATTTATTTTTATTGGAAAGTCAGATATACAGAGAGGAGGAGAGACAGAGAGGAAGATCTTCCGTCTGATGATTCACTTCCCAAATGACTGCAATAGCTGGTGCTGAGTCGATCCGAAGCCAGGAGCCAGGAAGTTCCTTCAGGTCTCCCAGCAGATGCAGGGTCCCAAGGCTTTGGTCCATCTTCTACTGCTTTCCCAGGCCACAAGCAGGGAGCTGGCTGGGAAGCGGGATGGCCAGAACATGAACGAGCGCCCATATGGGATTATAGTGTACAAGGCGAGGACTTTCGCTGCTAGGCTACTGTACTGGGCTCAATATACCATTTTTTAAAAAGATGTGAGAAGTGAGAAGCTTTCATTCACATATAAAACAAAATTAAAAACCAAGAAATGTGTTAATTTCCTTAAGCCATCCACAAAAATGAACTCAAATGAATCATACAAGATGGCATTTGACGGGGCAGTTAGAGCACAGCTTGGGAGCATGGATCTCATATCATGGAGCCTGGCTTCAAGCACTGGCTCCACATTGGATTCTAGCTTCCTCCTAATGGGCTCACTGGCAGTCAGCCATGACTCATGTAGTTGTTTCCCTATAACCCATATGGGAGACACAGCCTAAGTTTCAGGTTCCTGGTTTCGGCCTGTCTCAGCCTTGGCTGTTGGTTTTCCAAAAAAACCAAATAGATTTAAACAGACACACACAAACACACACATCATAAACATATGTGTATGGGGCCAGGCACAGCTTTGCATGCACCGGGATCCCATATGGATGCTGGTTCATTTTCTGGCTGCTCCACTTCCCATCCAGTTCCCTGCTTCTAGCCTGGGAAAGCCTTGGGACTCTGCACCCATGTGGGAGACCCAGAAGAAGGTTCTGACTCCCGGCTTCAGATTGGCTCAGCTCAGCTCTGGCTGTTGCAGCCACATGGG